TTAACACGTTCCGTGCCACGTGTACCATCGATGGTACGCGCTTGCATGTTTACTTAGTGAACTGAACAAATTGTTTACAAGAAATTTAGAACCGAAGAATCAATTTCCACCGCAAGAATGGGCGTTGATAAGTTTTTGTTATGTTGTTATGTGTGCGAGAATTAATAATTGCACGTAATACATCAAGTTTTAGTAAAATATCAAAGTGTGAAGATTCGAGTAAAAAAAGCTCGGCACGGAACGTGTTAACAGCTACAAAAGAAACAACGTTAAATTAAACCTGGAATGGAAGCTGGAAAAGTTAAGAAAAGATTGATCTGAGCGTTTGAGTAATTTTTGGAACGAATGTACGGAGAATTCTGATACAGGAAAAGATAGCTGGTTTTAATGTTCCATTTCTTGTGTTTCGCATATTTCACAACGTACGAGGAATCGTATTTACCTGGGGAATTTCTAGTGATTTAACGAGATATATTATGTTAACAGGAGACGTTTGTCGCTGAAGATGTCCAACAGCATTCGTTACACGAAGGAGAACAAGTCTCTGACACAGGAGCAACGGATGTTCTACGAAAAAAAAGGATATCTGGTGTTCCCCCGTCTTGTGCCGCAACATATACTCGATAAATGTCACAAAAGGTAATAATTTCGTGTTCCCTTTTCACACTGTTTTGCCAGAAATTGTGATAATTAGACTGCAGATTTTATACATCTTTAACAAAAATGACTATGAGTTCGAAAAAATTTTTATATTATATATATAAAAATAATATAAATGTATGTATATAATATAAATATAAAAATTGTCTAATTAATTGTAAAAAAAACGTAAGTCAGATAAAAACAACTTTCCTCTTTTATTAATTTTATAATATATTATTTAAATATTAATTATATAATATGTATACATACATATATATATATATCTTATTAAAATTAATAAAAGAGGAAAGTCGTTTTTATCTGACATACGTTTTTTACAATTTATTAGACAATTTTTATTTTGCACAAAAGTCCGCAGTCTAGTGGCAATAAATCATTGGAAATAGTAGTATGATAAAGTAATCTGTAAAACGGTATGAGAGACAATTATCGTACGTCTGTGTTTCGATTAGTGTCAAACAACGTTTCGATGAAAACATGCACGATATAAGCGTACACTCAGATATTACACACCCCGGCGTTAATAATTCAGCAATATCGTGAGCCCCAGATTAAAGTTATTAATCTTGTTAACGTGTGGCGTGAAATGATACGTATCTGGTCTGCGACCGATTCATTATTAATCATTTTCGGTTCATTAATTATTGCAAACCGGGGACACTTATCCTTATGTCGACTCCAGTCGTTAATAACATCCTTTCCATTCCATTTTAGGATCAGTCAGTTTACTCGATGATATATTACCAACATTATGCATATTTTGCACGAAGTTCAATTTAAATTCATTTCAACCCTCGCCAAGACACGCTTTTCTTCGGAAATACCATGAGTTGAAACGTCCGTAAAATTATTGGACAATTTGTTTCGTGTCCGAAACTACCGTACATTTGAAGATTGAAGTTTCCCCTTTACAATAATCCCACGAATCTTGATGTACTATCTTTTCTTGGCCGTTTTATATGAAACAGAAGCGAAAAACAAGTTCGGTCGCGTAGAACTCCCATAGCGTGACGCTACACCTTCCATTAAAACCTCGATAAAACGACCAACAAAAATTCATACAATCAGTTTTGATGAGTCGTTGTAAAGAGGAAACTTCAATTTTCACACCCGTAGCAACTTCAATCGCGAAACAATATGTTCAAAGTTTTTACAGATGGTTCGATCTAGTATTCTCAAGAAACAAAAGTCACCAAAAATAATGAATAACGTGTCGCGAAAGTAGAAGCTGCAAGCTTTAAAAGGATTCCAGATTTATCGTTATACGATTCCTTTCGACGTAATTGTAATTAGAACGAACATCGACAGCCATTCGAAAATTGAAAATTCAATTGCTAAAAATGTTCTGCATTTCTAATAAAATTGTTTATCACTGTTATATGCATTAAGTATTAAAACAGATACCGTGAAAGAGAATACTACCTAAATTTCAACCGCGGAAGTCGTATACCGTAGTTTTCATAGGCAATTACTTTTCCAGGTTCGACGACATCGTTTCTGGCAAGGCTCCACGCAGTGGAATAACCGTGATGTACGACGTGAAGGACAGAAAATCGGTCAACAAAATACAGGACATAGCTGGGGACGACGTTTTCTGCGAGTACATCAAGCACAAAAATGTCCTCGACATTGTGGAAGCCGTCACCGGTCCAAACATCATGGCTATGCACAGTATGCTGATCGCGAAACCTCCCGATGTCGGATTCCAGACCTCCAAGTAATCTTCGTTCACAATTTTCCCTTGCCTAATTAGTAAACTTAGAATTTTATGCATTTATGTCAGAAATGAACAAGTCAAATTTCAAACTATGAAAAGGTTAAATGAATTTAAGAATGTCAACGTACTATTTTCTACTGATTAAGATTATTATAGGAAGAATAACATGTATATTTTCATCGTCCGTTTCTTACAATTGAGACGGACAATTTTTATTTTTATTGATTTTTATTCTACTAATTAGTAGTGCGTTGGATCTTTATGTATTTACCTTCAACGTCTCAAATTGCGAAGAAAAATTGTCAAGACCGATATTTTTATTTCATTTTTCGCATGAGAAATTTTTTAGCTGAAAGTTGGTTTCACTCTAACTTTAACTTTTCAATAAAATAACTTACCAAAATTGGGATTTGCAGAAAGATTTGCAATATAGTGATCAAAATGTTTGCCGATTCCAGACACCCGCCTCACCAGGACTTGTATTACTTCCCGTTCCGGCCAGTAGACCTGATAGTGGCCTCATGGACTGCCATGGAACGTTGCACCATTGAGAATGGATGTCTTTACGTGGCCCCAGGTACACACGCAATCGATCGTTTGCTGAGACACGACTATCCCCCGGGAGCAAAGCCAGGATCAGTCAACAAATTCTATCATGGCATTCTGGTACAAATCCAACTGGGGTCATCGAAAATCGAGGGAGAATCGAGTAAATAGTAATCTGCTTTCTCCTTCTCCTGAAAGGACCTACCTGAGTCGATAAACTGGGTGCAACTGGAAATGGAACCGGGCGATACAGTGTTTTTCCATCCCCTATTAATCCACGGATCCGGCGTGAACATGAGCCAGAAAACCAGACGGGCCATTTCTTGCCATTACGCGGCTGCAGAGTGCCATTACATCGACGTAAGTCGTTCACAGTACTGACAAAATCTATTGCAGGACAATAGCTTCCTGATGAACGAAGACTGCGGATTTTATGCACGTCTAACAAAAACGGGTGAATTTCAAATAATAGACAAATCGAAACAACTGAAGAATATCGACATACCGTTTCTAATTTGTTGAAGTTATTAAAGAAACAATGAAGTGTCAATGAAACAATGAGGTGCGAATTTGTATTATTTTGCATAAAGATCCGCAGTCTACTCACAAGCGATAGAGAAAATATAAATCTGTACACAATCGTCCCACTATTTTCTGTAATAAATTGCCCCGCATTTTAATCAATTTCCTTAATGTTCTAATTAAATTGCAACAGGTGACGCAAACTGTGCAGAACAACATTGCGACGGAGATAAAGAGCCACGTAACCAGCATCTCCCCCGGTATCGAGATGAAATACGAGGACTTGTGGCGTTTCAAGGCCAAACTAGTGCGCGGGATGAAGTCCTCTCTCTAAGAGTACGATAAGTACATCTCATGGGGGCTCCACGTGATAGTAGTAGTTGATCAAGATAGAGGTGTAATATTTGCACGGTAGCAAAATCGAGTCGTTGCTCGGGTAGACGATGAGGCAGAGAGGAGGGAGAAGGGTGAGTAACGGCATGACAGAAAAAGATGCAACGACAACGGAGTTGTCGCCATTATTATTTAGCGAATCAGAATCACGACGGTGTCTTTGATGGGTGTACGGCGGCTGGAGGGCGTAACAATGTTTCGAATGAGGATCTTTGTAGGTGTTCTCGTGACGAACGCTGGCACTCGAGGTGCGACACGCAGCCAGACAAATTTGAAAACGGTCCAGGTTGCGCAAGCGTTTCTTCACAACATCTTGGTCCCTGTGCACTTTGTGGTTGTCCCTCAGCAGCCCTAATAACATGTCCTTCCTGCCTTTTATTTGCTGTTGATAAAAACGATTCATTAATACTCCAATTTTTTGTAGTATCAGATGAAGAGAGAAATTAGATAGGAGAAACAGAGGATCACCTTGCCGGGATGTAAGCAGCAGGACACACAATACTCGTAAATCGCGCAGCACCCTTGCACATTGCAAGTTTTACAACTATACCTCTCTCTTTTTACCACAGGGGCTTCCTCGTTCTTGTAATTCTTTTCTTCTATGCTACAACAGCCGTTCGGCAGAATATCTTGTCTGCCACAGACGATACCACGCTCGTCCACGATCAGAGCTTTTCCCTAACAGAATGAGAAAACATTAGTTAACAAGCTTAAGCAAAACATCAGGTCATTCAATAAATAGTGAAAATTTTCTCTTAACCCTTAACTGCGGACGTCCGAATTTCTGATAACTACTCACTAAAATATACTGTTTATGAAATGAATATGATATTAACATAACATTTATTACACATATTAGTGGTGACAAGGAAAGAGGAAAATACTCGAAGTTATGATTTCTAGATTCACTTATGGTATAAGTAGTAAGCAATAATGTTTACAGTAGAGTCTGTCAGACTCCATATCCGCAGTGAGGGATCATCCCTTTGATAAATTAAATTATTATTGATAAATAAAGTTATCACAATCACAACCATTGGTTTTCTACATTTCTGACAAATATATTTCTGATAAATAACTGGTCTAATAGTTGACAAAGAACTAATAGTTGTGATCTGCTGTTACAATATACCTGGACAGAGTTGCGGCAAGGTTGAGCTACAACTTCGCTGTCATTTAAGTTAGGTATCGCCTCTACGTTTATCTGGTTATCGTTTGTCTCTTGGTCGAGAGTAGCCTGCCAAAGCAGAGGCTTGCCAGATGCTTTTAATTGATCCATCAACACCTCGTCGTCGGAGATTAGGTCGTCGTTATTGTCATTGACCATCATAGCGTCCATATCGTCCAGGTCATTATCTAGAGTTAACGTTTTCCTCTATGGATAAAATGATATCGCGTTCTAAGTACCAAGATTGGTGGTTCTTATTCAGATGATTAATTTACCTCGTTACGAAACAATGAAAAGGCGCAGTAGGTGAGCGACAAAGCGAATATCAGTCCGAGTACGAGGCGGCGTCTAATGATCCTGAACAGACCGCCGCAACTCGGCATCCTTTCCACTTGATCCAACGTGCCCCCGTGATTTCGATCGACATTAAATTCCTTGGTTAGTGTTCAGGCACATGGTCGACAGCCAACTGACAGCGCAAAGTCATTTCGTTAGATCGTATTCAAGTTTCTAGAGATCTATGATCTATGAAACTGTCTAATCATCGTTACGCTATGAAATGTAAATCAAACAGGCTCGGATATTTAACATAACCGTGGAAAATGCGAGACAAGAAAAATGGAGGGAAAGAGAGAGGTTATGTTGTTCTTCTGACAGTCGCAAAACATTCGTGAAGCGCTTACCGATTTCGGCGCGCAATTAATTCTGTTGGTGCTACATGAGCTTCTTTCAGATCGGCCGCACGTTCAACGACCAAAATTCAGGTTATCTTTCTCGTAAATACGAAATTTAATGAAATTCTTGTCGCTCGACATGCGAGAAATGATACAAGATGGATACAAGTGCGTTGACCTGTCCAATGTGCCTGGGTGACGTTAATGAGTGCGCGGTTACCGTGGTAGATGTCCCTGCTTAACTAACACATTATTTTGTTACTGATAATTTTTCGCAAAAGGTATTTAAAAACGTATTTTATAAAACAATTAGTTAATTTTTAAATGTGATAGATACAAATTTACCGACAGAGTAAATATTCGCTGAAAATTCACAGTAGCGACACTTGTTATTCCTTAGCAAATTAACCGGTATCGGTAATTTGTTTACCAGTTTTAGTATTTTGCCACTGCATTTAGTGACGCTGTTTCTAGATTTTATGGGAAGAGCACAAAAGCACCACCTGTATTACAATTATGAACCTTCAAAATTATCATTTATGGATAATTTTGACGAATAGTTTGAGCGTTCTGCCACTACGCGATTTGACGCTGTACGGACCTCTAATCTTGTTTCAAAATTTCACCACACGCGGCACCGCTTATCACAAAAGACGTTATTTTTAAATATGGATTTTTAATTTTATTTTTATTTTCAACGATAAATAAATTTTTTGCATTATATAGGTTGCATTTATATACTCTCAGAATAATTTCTGTAAAATTCCTAAATTGTTAGACGTTTAATTATTATAATGAAGTATTGTAGACATGAGATTATAATTATAAATAGACACAATTTTTGTGAGGTAGTATATATATGTAGTATATGTAATAGGTAGTATATATAATATAACAAATTGTTGAAATATAAAAAGCAATTGGGTTTCTGTCTTCAGATGAATTGTAATTATGGCTTTATAATAAATATAATAAAATATCATATATTTGTATTCATTAAAACTGAACATATCTAAAGAAAAATTGCACTTTCGAGATGAAGTTCGCTGCAATCGTATGCATATGGAGGTAAAACAATGAAATCCAAGTTTTCTGACTTTTGGATTCTTATCTTGACAGTGAGAAAGGATACTATAAGATTAACACGTGTGATGACGTTCGGAATAATACAATGGATACTGTCTATAGCAGTATTCCTAATTGTCATCGCCATAATTGTTTTATCCGCCATCCATCTCGGCAGACGGGACAAAATTACGTCAGGTAAGCTCAAGGAAAGCAACAAATATAAATGTAAAAATTCGCCCCTAATGAATTGAATAAAAATTTATAAAATTGCACTTCAAACATTACATAAAACAATTATTATTTCTGCCAGATTCCAATCTATAAACTGGATAAGTCCTATCAAAGAGAACGTGAACAATAAATTAAGTTAACTTTACATAACAATTTTAAAAGGGACAATTGAGTGAATTTACCAATGGATTGAATCCTTCTACTTTAGTCGGAATTCGAATTCCGTCTAAAGTATATGTGTCGCAGAAAAATTTGTTTGAATCTCACTGGGTAAAATGGCGATTCGAATGAATTATAATAATCGAAGAACCACGAGTTTCAACAAAGATCACATTTTCCCCGAGAAAAAGTGAGCTTGCCTCGAGCCTTGTACTCAACAGGACTCTTCAGTCAATAGCCCTTGAAGTGTAAATCTGAAAACACTTTAGAACCTAAACGGACGAACCCTCGTTATGCGAACGTCTGTATATTGACTATCCAATGTGTTCACCAGATGTTAAACTGTTCCTTTAACTTCTTCCTTAGTAGTAGACGTTTACGTGAATTTGATTTTCATTCAAGGAAAAGAACTTTGCGAAATAGCTGCTACTACGATTCGATTTTTAATCAACACAATAATACTATGACGGTTCACTTAGTTTTAAATAACAATACGTGGAGGAAGGTAATTGATTATTCTGTACTATATAATCTAGAGCCCTCTAGTTGAATACCTTTGTGTCCGTCTTTGTCCGTCTCGCAAAAGATTTCTGCTTATATGTAATTGGACACCTTGAATGTTTACATTGAATGTTTACATTATTCGCCTCTAGCATTGAGATGTTTAGTCTAGTTTCATCGTTGGTGATAAGTGGCGCCTGGGAACCGTAAACGCCAAGAGAAGCACAGCTCTGAATTTCTTGCTCGTTTACTCGCACGGTAATACCTATAACTGTTACGCTATAAGTATTTGCAAATGTATAAAACTAAATAAATATAATTTGACCCAATGCGAGCATTAAGAAGATCTGGAGAGCATCCACACTTCAGTCCCCGTTCATTTAATTTTTTAATTTCAAATTTAGCCGATTGTTTGGGAGTTGAGACGATTGTTCGTTGGTTCGCTTCACCTCAGATTATTAATTGGACTAGTGCTACGTATGTGATCGCCAGCAAGGACAACAATCTTCGTCGAACCTTCACAGTTTCAAAGCCAAGGCATGTATTTATCTAACCAAGCCATGCTAATTTCGTAGCCCCAGAAACAGGCGGCGTTCGCGGGGAACGCGCGGATCAGGACAGGCACGATTCCTCGATAAAGGCCGATCAGTCCATCGCTCTTCACTATCATCGAAAAGACTGATCTCACACCATGCCGATGCTCTCCCAATTTGGACGTCTGCAACTTCGATTTAATTGTGTCGAATGGCATCGAAACCATCCAGTTAATTAAACCCGCGCAACCCCCCGCTAATAACGGCTGCCATGTTATCTGCGAGACAAGACGTGAATTTTCACACGTGTGCAATGGAAGAGGAACAGGAGAAGTATGTTAAAACGGAAGTGTTAAAACAAAGTGATCTTACATTGTCGCAATCACTGGTGATAGTTCGCATGATTTCCTCGTACGAGCAGAAATATAGTCCTGTGGCAGGAACGTCACGGAGGAATGTAGCACAGGTACCGATGTACAGATTACGAAAGCCGCCCTCTTTCCACAGTTTCGTCCCGCAATCCAAAAAACCATGGTATTTAACAATGTTCCCCTTAAGCAATTCCGGTCGAATTATTATTTTTTGTTTTTATGGCACAGCATTACTTGAGGAAAGGTGATAAGTTTTTCTATTACATATCTATTGGTAAATATTTTAATGCTATTGTTTTTTCTTATCGTTTTCATTGTGGTTGGGTGTGAATAAAGTGGAAAACGTTATCAAATTTCATCAATACATTTATTCGATTGTATTTTTGCACATTTATTTGATATTATTCTGCTTTTTACCTGGAATTGCAACAAACACTTGATTCGTTCCGCCGGAACAGTGACGACCGTTGTACTGATACCGCTAAGTACACCCGCGAATAAAACTTGCCCAGCGGTAAGTCTTGTTTGATCTGGATCGGCAACGAGGTCTTTACCGTATCCATATCCCAGGAAACCAATGGCGAATATCGGTACGACCGTTATAAGGGGCGCCATTACACCCTGCAGCAATGTAACTGATTGTTAATATTAACGTTCGAACTTCGAAGACAGAATTTACTGAATTAAGAATAAAAAAACAGGGACTTAGCGTTTAAGAATAAAATTCTCCTTCGGCCGATCAGCATGAACTTTGTGGACGAACGCAAAAAAAAATATATAAGCAATGTGTTAGATACGATGGATAAGCAGAATTCTATCACGTTATGATACGTTATGACGATTGCAACCGGACACGGACGAGATTTTAGCATAGGACGATAACTGAGCGGAAACGATGGCAATGTCGACGATCTCACGTTGCTGCTGGGACAGCAGAAATCTCATTCGTTCGAATAATATACAGCATGGCTGACGCGAGAGAAACGCAACCAATTAGGACGAAGAATCGGGCACATCATAGTGTTACCCATAGGGGTACGTATCCCCACCAAGTCAGGTATAATATTAGGGTTTGTGTTTGTTCGTGTTCAAGGACCGAAGAAGCCGGCCAGTCTACGATTGTACCCGTCAAGCAAGAGGTACCGTGGAATGTCCAATTCGTTCGTCGAACGTGACGTGACGGAAACATCTACGTGCTACAAACAGTTCAGGATAAAACGACGACTCGATCTTACTTCAAGTGAGCTGAGACACAACATTGGAAAACACTTTTCAAAGAAAACATTCCCGTCGTGGATACTGCAAAAGCATTCGCTGCATCCGTTAGGAATTTATAGAGAGTGGAAACATTTATTTTACAAGGTATCTTTTTTCGTTGAAAAATCTCCGATTTTCCTCGGAACGTTTCCATTATTTACGTTAAGTACGCACGATCGCTGATAAATCGAACGTTCGATCGCTGATGGAAGTGTAACTTTGACGTCAGCCCTTTGAATTTGTCGATATAGACTTTCGTCAATTCCGCGCGTTTGTTCGTGATTGTGTTACGCAAAATCTTTGTTCAATGCAATGACCAAGCGAATGAGTTTGATTGGAATCGGTTATGTTTGAACGTTTACATCGTTCTATTGGGACGACGAAACATGTGAATGTCGACCAACGCAGTACCGAGAGGTAAGTACGTACTTATCCAGATGCCGGCCTCATGTTCACAAACTTAACCGGTCAAACGTAATGTCATACCCTTCGATGTAAATAAACTTTGTAGAAGAAAGATATATATGTATCTACAAATTTTTTCGTAGAGACAAAGGAAATAATCCGATTTAGAAATAAGTTCTAAGATTATAGTACAATGAAATTTATCTTCAACATTAAATATGCTGAAGATGTTCTTTAATGTCATTAATCAAAGAATTCTTCGTTCAACAAGGACATAAAGGAAAGGCTATCGAATGATAGCATGACAAACATTTCTAGCGTATCCGGTGCATCGTACCGTTACATTTTCAATAATGTTTGCGTTAACCTTCAAATCAGATAATCACAACAAATAGAGATCGATCGAAAAACAACGGACACCGGATCAAAAGATTTCAATAACAATTAGACAATTATCGTGTGAAAAGGGCACTGATAATTACAAGTACAATACAAGTACTATTATTAGACGGCGGATTTTATGCAGTTATTGCAAAAATTTATAAGAGAAATACAAAATGGTGAAAGAGTTGGAAGAATTTGAGAACACTGCTACATTATTTTTGATTGATTAAAACTATTAGAAGAAGACATACACTTTTATTTAGTTCTAGTTTCGTACAATTGCTGAACAAAATTTTTATTTTGCATAAAGATCTGCAGTCTAACGATTGTACACTGCAAGCTAATTTTCTCTCACCAAATTGTTTGATACCACGCTCCCAATAGGCATAATTAAAATTTGTACCTTGTACAAACTAAATGGTCCTTCCTGCAACACGGTTGTTTTAATCGCATGCCATGTGCCTTTGTAGTTTTCTGGCATCGTTTGCAACCGAAGTTTAACTGTATCTAATGGATGGCCAGTCAAAACTGTAAAGATACCGCCGATCCCACCGGCTATAAATATACGATTTTGCGCTCGTTTACTCTTCCGTCGATAATTCGCATTTGCTTTCTCGTATCTACTTATCAGATATCTTAGTACGCTCTTCTCAGGCATCTTTATTGTTATTATCATGAACGGTCAAGTGCACAACTTTTTTTATAATAGCTGTCGCAACAAAAACAGGGTTAGACACGCGCATTTTTTACATGCTCTACCTCATGTTTACTATATGTAGCAGATTCCATGAATTTCGTTCGATTCGGTGTTATATTCGTTACGATCGATTAGTAACACGAGTCACTTCCGCAGAATCACTTCTGACTCATAGGAAATTTTCTCTTTTATGACACAAACTTCGTATAAGAATATTATACAACTTATTATTTCTTTTGAAAAAATGCTGAAATAATTCATGAAAGAGGAAAATACAAATCTACTAAGTCCTACTTCAGAAGCATGCGGTCTGAGTCTCGGAAGTCGACTGCTGCAGCCAAGTCTCTGCAGTGTCGCTTTTATAAGCGTTATCAATGTTGAGATTATCGCCCAGCAATATTGTTACGGACCTTATCTTATTCTGGGTCGTCTGACATTCCCGCAAAAAGGTTCAACTTTAGCGGTTTGCCATTATTCGGCGCCATTAAAAATCGTAATAATATTGTCCTTTTACAAAATCTATACATATGATGACAAAATATATACGTCTGCAGAGTTTTGTCCATGTATAATTTTTACCTCGGACGCTGTGGCTTATAATCTTTATAATGAGCATTTGCTCGTAACCCTCTTGGTCTTATCGCGTGTTATCTTGTATATATCGTAAGAAACGAATGATAAGATTTTGAACATATCTGGAACACACACGTGATATTATTACGCGTCGATGTTAAAGAAACTTAAACTCCGAGGCTGTAATATCATCAAAAATGAAAAATAATAAGATAAATCAAATTTATTCACTTTCATTCAAAATATTCGTAACATAATATCTACATAAGGCAAATAATGAAAAATCGCGAAAATTTATTAACCTGATTTCACCCTATCAAGATTAGTGTGAATTTTGCCGTACTGATCGAAAAAAGGCGCATACACAAAGTTTGGAATTGTATCGAAGAGTTTCATATTACATGCGATACACGATATCGAGTCGCCATTTTCCATGGGACCGACAGCATTTGTTCCTCTTTTTTATTTCCTCAGATTTATATCAATTGTAAATATTATTGCAACAGTTACGCCAATGTGATGATGGCATCACATTGTATATCACCAATAGCAATAATATGGTCAAAGTTTATCTCAATGGCATAGCAAATGCACCACGATAATTTACTCCTCAACGAAGATACAGTAAGTCTGCGCGCCATAATGAAACGGTAACAGGAACATTCTTTTAAGATTTAAATCTGTAGTTTATACATTTGACATTAATTTTGTCACGTACATTAACAGACAAAATTTATTCCCCGCATGCTTCATTTTTGACGCAGAATATTATTTAAAAATTCTTACACTCAAAAAATGGAAGGAATGTAATAAAAAATATAAATATTTTGTATGTAAAAATGTAATGCGACATGTAGAAATGTAAATATTTTCATTTTTCTTGGTGTTTGTATATGCTGCGCCTAAAGTATATGTATTTGTCACGTCGTTCACATCATCCAATTGTATTGGATTGATTTTGTTTTATCTTATAAAGAAGCATTGTGTGTTTAAAAATTTTTCCAAGTAAAACACATATTTACATAAACACATTTGTTTCCTTCTGTTTTATATGATATAAAAATTTTATAATCTCCGATTATATATATCATAAGAAAAATGCGTTTAGATTCATTTGTTAGTTATGTAACAAATTACATAACCATCCTCTAGAATCATTCCTATTTCCAACCGTAGACACTGACAATGAGACGTTTGTGCATCGAGAAGGATTTCCTATTGGTCTGGAACCGACGTAGAGATTACACTGGAAGATTGTCGGAGTTCTTGAAACCCTCGAGAAAATTTATGATCGTAAATTCCAGGGCTCAGAAATTCGAAACACCATTTCATGATCTGAGATAGAGATACAGCCACAGTCTCAATAATCCTGTTGTTATTAAAATATTACTTCGCATCCGTAATATTCTTTGTTCTTAAATATAACTACACATTATTTTGTAAAACGTATAAAACAGGTTCGAGTACAACGATAGTCAGCAAATAGCTAAACGGTACAGTCAGCACGAATAGAATTGTCATAACTAGTCGAATAGAATCCCTGGGACGAGTCGCAGCAATTATTCAAACATTGCGTCGCCGATCATTTTAAAATCATGAATATCTTGTCGCACTCGCGTTTCAAACAATTGACGCTCTCAGGAGATAGGGTGGGGGAGTGGTGTTACACAGAAAGAGAGAGGGAAGCGAAACGCAGGCGCCCCGATACGGAAAAGCTTGGCGCGCTGATCAGATCACAGACCGTGAAAAGTTTTCCGGGAAGACGCGTTGGAAGGAAGTTCTATCATTCTGAGGGCAGCGGAACATCGTATAACATCATCACCAATTGTCCTTAGTGGTCAACCGAATGTTTGTCTCAGTTATTGTTCACTCGCCTCAATCGGCCGTGTTATCGATGCCTGCCCGCTTGTGACCACGTGTACTGAATACACGAAAGTAATTTAGCCTCATAAAGGACAGTAAAAGTCATACGTTTCCTCAGTGATGACTGAAACCGCGCGAACGGAAGCCATAACATCGGTAACCTTCGACAACCTTGTACTAAAACAGTGGTTGTACTACATCGGTCCCGTTCGCCGTTCCGAACTACTGAAAAAGGTGCGATCCCGTTTCTACATTTCGAATTTTATGTCTGTGTCGCGAAAAGGAAGATCTGGATGTCTCTTGCCCATTCGATATCTTTTGAATCATGTGTTACTGAAATTGACCTTAGGGGGAGCTTCGCCGAAAGGAAGAAACAATCGAAGATATACGTAAACGTGATCGTCTTGTGAGAAACGTTTGTCTTTTTTTCCTTTTTTTTCCCCTCGATTCATGTTATTTGTTTACGGTCAGAAAACGTTGAACTATGACAGCTATGCGGCAGAGAAGTAATGTCGAATTATGGCGATTGTTTCAGTTGAAGGCTGACCTACAGGACCTGGGTCTCTCTAGGAGACTGGTACATCGAGGTTTGATTCAGTTGGCGACAAAACCGCGCGTAGTTCTTACGCGCGAGCCGACTGCAAGGCGGTATGGGTAAGTTTACAATTATTCGGATGTTATTCATCGTTAACGTGGATGTTCGAAAATACCACTTTCGGTTACTAGTTTTTTTTTGCATTTTTTTGTGCGATGACGAAGTTAAATTTCTGGTTGTGAAACGTATCGGTCGTATCGCTGCCTTCTCGATCTCTCGATGGGAGGCTCGTTTAAAAAAGCTAAGCGTTGGTATTTGATCTAAAAAAAAATTTGTTTGTGTAGATAGCTACCCCATCAGTATAAGATCACGTTTTAATGCTGACAAATTAATTCAAATAGTGTTTTTCGAATAATTCTTCAGAGGTATAATATTTTGTTATACCTACTAAATCTACTATTAAATTGAAAGTGCATACACAGGATAACACTTGATAGTAAAGTAGAAATATTGTTGATATGAAAATATTAAGAAAATATTTTATTTAAAATTCTCTTTAACATCTATATTAATATACATATCAAATTTGTGTTTCAGACCAAGAAGATTATATGTAAATGAAAATGAAGACAAATCCAGCAAAGTTACAGATAGGTGTACAACTGATATTGAAGTCGGTGAATGTCATTTACAACCGGCACCCGAATTTGTACATGAATCAGTCACAATAGACACTGTTGGTGAAAAAAAGTACAAACAAAATGAAAAGGTGGATGCTATAAGATCCTACAAAACTGTTTCAGAGAGCTGCTCACAGACATTTAAAGCAGCAAATACTCAATCAACATTACAATCTTTTGATAAAGCTTTAGAACAATTAGATATGATTAATTTCGCCAAAAGGAGCGTAATTGAGAAATCAATAAATAAGAAGACCTGTGTATCTCCGGATACCACTATGAAAACACAAGACTGCATTCATAATAGGACATTGCTTTCAAATAGGGAGTCTTTGTGCATTAAAGCTAAAAATTTGAACACACATATTCAAAAAGATGTTAAGTACGCATTGAAAAAGGCTATTTGCTCGAAATCTAATGAAGCATTGTTAAATAGCATGTTAACGCAAAATAAGAAAAATCCTACAAAAGAAAATTTAAGTTCGAATTCCAATAAAATAGATACGGATATTAAGATAGACTATAAATCTAGTAAAGTTAAACATTCCACAGAGAAAAATGTTGAAAGTAAAACAATGTCAAACATTGTTTCACAGAAAGATAGCACTAGCCATACCGATGTACATCTAAGTACATCTAAGAGTTACCAGAAAAGAAAATCACTTGACCCCTTCAGTGGTGACGTAGTAGAGAAAAAAAAACTGATCCTTTCACGAAGTAACATTTCTGGATTAATTGACAAGAGAAAATGGAAAAAGTTGAAGAAATTTCGAAAATATTTTGGAAACTGTATGTCTGTTAGCGAAGATGAACAAGAACAAACTATTTTGCATAGGTACTGTAAAAATAAAAAGAATTTGATTGACTCATGCGATTCTGGAGTGTGTTTTAGTGACGGAAGCGTAACTGCTAATTTTGAAGAAAAGTCGAAACAAACTGGAAGTGTACCTGATTCAACAATGCAAGAAGAATTTAATGAAGACACATCTAAGAAGAATCTTGTGGAGGCTGACAATATACACCAGGAAGAAGATGATAGGAATGAAACTATTACAAGCGCCAATGAAACCGAAAATACAACAATAAATATCATTATATCTGGATCCAATAATTCAGAAGCTGAGATAACTAAAGCAAGCACTCAATCCAATACGGACAAAACAACTGAAGAAACAACTTCCACGGAGAACGCTAAAGAAACACTTCAATGGATAGAGGCATCTGAAGCTGACAGTTCTTCAATAGACACTGAGATAATGATGAGTCCAGGAGTTTGTTATACTTTCAAAACAGAACATGGAGAATACGATATACAAAATCTTTCAACTACAGATTTTTCTGATATCCAAGAAGATAATTTAAATAGCGATTTTAACGAACTTCTACAAATGACCTTTGACAGTACTTGCCAAATCAAGTCGAATGGAAATGTAGTTAGTATTCAAGAAAATGTTACCAAAGATTTAAATCAAATTATCGTTAAGGATGATATTGATTTGTCATCTAGTGATGAAAACTGGAATTTAGAAACATTTGCAGAACGAGAATTGGATAGTAAAGGAGATCAAGAAAATGATGATATACCTTTACGCGGGACAGTAATATCGATCAATTCGAAAATGACTATTAAGGCTGAGAATGAGTTAGTAAATGATACTATGTGTAGTATGTTAGACAATGTAAATGAAACTGCATCGCAAAAATCTGAATTGGAAAGAACAGTAAAAAAGAAGGAAAGTCAATCCAATCAAAGTTTTCAAGGTAGATTGAGAGTATTATCAAGTGCTGAGCTAGGCTCTAGATGGTGTCCTACACCTATACACACAGATGTGTGTATAGACGTTATTACTTCAGTATCGCAAGCAGTATCTACAGCGTCCAAGAATTTGCCGGAACCTGTTACTAGTACTCCAGCATCGTTACCTACTACGTGCTCTGTTACTGTACCAGTTTCCACTGATGCAACAGTCCCGCTTACTAATGCAACACAAAGCAACTTTGATTCAGAGTCTGTGGATAAAGGTTTGGTGATGATATGCAATTTGATTAAATCCATACGTTCTTCTCCATTGATATCCATATCGACTTATGATAATGCGCTCTATACGGAGTTCGATAAATTGTGGAAAGGACTAAAGCCTGTGAATTTCCCAACTCTTCTTAACGGAATTATAAAACTGATTAATAAGAAAGAATTTGAAACGATGCCAGTGACTCTCCATGAAATATTTTGTTACACGCCGTCACTACAAAATGTATATACTGAAATATCGAGTAGTCAAGTTTGTAATGTTAATGATTTATGTTGTAACATATGCTGTTTAAGTGGAACAGAAATAGCTACGAATAAGACGACGGTACAGCAAAACGTACAATGGAATTATTCATCTTTGGATACAGGTTTCCAAGAGTCGGTTGCTAGGAACGCTATGCCGCAACAACGTCCCATACACTTCAATCAAACATCCATAAATTCAAAGTCTGTACAAGGTTCAGAAAAGATTATTTCGCAGTCACATAATGTCCCTCAAAGTGACACACCAATAAGCAATGTGATTGCATCACAGAGTTCACAGCCTTCAAAGGTAAGGAAGCAAAGGGTAACTGCTCGATGGAAAACTTCGCATACGGCCAACCAAAAGTCAGTATCAAATAGAAATGTAGCTCAAAGTATTCCCAGACAACAGCAAGTACCAAATCCATCTGCCAATGCTAATGAAGCAAGAAAATATATGTATATACCAACGTTGAACGGATATGTTAATTATCCACACGTCGCACACAATGTTGGCGTGTCTGAAACGAACACATTTTACGATGTAGGCACTACATCTACAACAAATTATCCTACTGCACAAAGTATGAATCCAGTTTACACCATGCAGCCACAAAATATTAACTTGCCATACAACGTACAATCACAGAATATTAACTCGAAATATGCATTTCAGTCACGAAATATCAATTCTACAGATCAACACTTTCCAAAGACTGTATCTCAACCGTCAACGTACAATATAGTACATAGGCCACGTCAAATGCATGGGGCGCAGCTATCTCAAAATACAACGGTAGCTAATTACCCGCCAACAAATATATTTGGTCCAAACAATCAACAACCTATCTTAAGAAATGTACTACAGAATGAGCAAATGTATCAACAGATACAAATGCAACCTCCTCATCCTCCTCCATATCCACAAAATTTCGCAAAACCTACGACGGTAAGAGGGAAGAAACAATTGCACTCAAAAGATCATGCAATGATAACAGGAAACAGCCCACAAGTATCACTGGTATCAACAGCGAAAAACTTCAATATACTGAAACATCTTTCTGATATTCAAAAAATAATACTACTAAAACAAATAAACTTTTACTTTGGTTGCACTATATGGCTGGAACAGGAATTTACGCAAATGAAATGGCAAAAGGTTCAATCTGAAAGAACAATGTTACTTAACTTTCACACACTCTTGAAACATCTTGTAGACAAGATATTGCATGATCTTTCACAGAACAAGTATCAGTCGGTGAGTGAAAAGAGTCAAACCATACGCAATGTTGATACTGATGCTCCGGAAGAGCCGCAAATTACCGTTGAAGGGAGTGGTGCTCATTGTAAAGTCGATGTTTCACACGGGAAAAAAGTACAAAGCAACGCAACCGCTTGTGTACTACAACAAAATTTAAATGGTGCAATAGTGCAAAATCAGCCGAATAAAGGACCGGAAATAGCGGATACACCAGAAAATACAGAATACAGTGGCAAGGCACAAAAATCAGAATATACAGTACGTGATCAGAAAGATAATCAAGGAACTGTTCAAAAGAACACTTGTCCTCGACCTGTATCATTATTAGAAACTGAAACTGTATTAAAAGATACTGAAAATGTAGAAAGTGGAATAGAAAGAAACTGGCAAGACTCTACGGAAAAACAACACTCGAGTAAACCAGAAAAAGTACCTGAAAATAGTTCTAATTCAGTTAAAGAGGAAGCGTTAAATTTAGTAGAATCTAATAAAGACAAGTCGTTGCAGATGAATTCTCATTTAGTTACTGTATTAATATCGCCAGACAGCGATCATGTAACCGTTGTGGATATTGTTAAGTCTCACGAGGTTACGGAGAACGTATTCAAAACAATGGATACTGAAATAACAAAAGACAGCGAATGTTCGCAAAATGAAAGGTTAAATTTATCCGCGGAGGATTCTATGTCTGAAACATTATCTAAAAATTCCGATACTAATTCTGAAAGCTCTCAAAATGTATTTGTTATTGAAGAGGAAGAAACTTGTTCTACACAGATCGCGGATGTCAGGAGTATTTCACTCAAAACGTTTGAGGAAATGGGACTAGGTAGTTGTACATCTACAGTTTTTGAAGAAAATATTATAGAGGAAGAAATTAAAGTATGTCTATGTTGCAGCAAACTCAGCACTGTAGTATGTTCGCTCTGTTTGGAAGCTAAATACTGTTCGAAAGAATGTTCGGAATTACATTGGCCAGAACATTACAAAATTTGTAAGCTTGTATGAAGACTGTATACTTATCAGATAACACATTTTCTGCATTTACTCCTTCCAACATAAGTTACTCCCATTGTGACTCTGTTATCTTAAACAGTATTTGTTGTTGCTGTTTTGAGCTAGAATTTAAGAATGTTATTTTTTTTATATAAAACTATTTTTTAAATTATTGCCTTTTGTACAAATTCAGGAAAATATAAATACTATTGAAAAATTATGTTATACGTTACATNCGAACACATTTTACGATGTAGGCACTACATCTACAACAAATTATCCTACTGCACAAAGTATGAATCCAGTTTACACCATGCAGCCACAAAATATTAACTTGCCATACAACGTACAATCACAGAATATTAACTCGAAATATGCATTTCAGTCACGAAATATCAATTCTACAGATCAACACTTTCCAAAGACTGTATCTCAACCGTCAACGTACAATATAGTACATAGGCCACGTCAAATGCATGGGGCGCAGCTATCTCAAAATACAACGGTAGCTAATTACCCGCCAACAAATATATTTGGTCCAAACAATCAACAACCTATCTTAAGAAATGTACTACAGAATGAGCAAATGTATCAACAGATACAAATGCAACCTCCTCATCCTCCTCCATATCCACAAAATTTCGCAAAACCTACGACGGTAAGAGGGAAGAAACAATTGCACTCAAAAGATCATGCAATGATAACAGGAAACAGCCCACAAGTATCACTGGTATCAACAGCGAAAAACTTCAATATACTGAAACATCTTTCTGATATTCAAAAAATAATACTACTAAAACAAATAAACTTTTACTTTGGTTGCACTATATGGCTGGAACAGGAATTTACGCAAATGAAATGGCAAAAGGTTCAATCTGAAAGAACAATGTTACTTAACTTTCACACACTCTTGAAACATCTTGTAGACAAGATATTGCATGATCTTTCACAGAACAAGTATCAGTCGGTGAGTGAAAAGAGTCAAACCATACGCAATGTTGATACTGATGCTCCGGAAGAGCCGCAAATTACCGTTGAAGGGAGTGGTGCTCATTGTAAAGTCGATGTTTCACACGGGAAAAAAGTACAAAGCAACGCAACCGCTTGTGTACTACAACAAAATTTAAATGGTGCAATAGTGCAAAATCAGCCGAATAAAGGACCGGAAATAGCGGATACACCAGAAAATACAGAATACAGTGGCAAGGCACAAAAATCAGAATATACAGTACGTGATCAGAAAGATAATCAAGGAACTGTTCAAAAGAACACTTGTCCTCGACCTGTATCATTATTAGAAACTGAAACTGTATTAAAAGATACTGAAAATGTAGAAAGTGGAATAGAAAGAAACTGGCAAGACTCTACGGAAAAACAACACTCGAGTAAACCAGAAAAAGTACCTGAAAATAGTTCTAATTCAGTTAAAGAGGAAGCGTTAAATTTAGTAGAATCTAATAAAGACAAGTCGTTGCAGATGAATTCTCATTTAGTTACTGTATTAATATCGCCAGACAGCGATCATGTAACCGTTGTGGATATTGTTAAGTCTCACGAGGTTACGGAGAACGTATTCAAAACAATGGATACTGAAATAACAAAAGACAGCGAATGTTCGCAAAATGAAAGGTTAAATTTATCCGCGGAGGATTCTATGTCTGAAACATTATCTAAAAATTCCGATACTAATTCTGAAAGCTCTCAAAATGTATTTGTTATTGAAGAGGAAGAAACTTGTTCTACACAGATCGCGGATGTCAGGAGTATTTCACTCAAAACGTTTGAGGAAATGGGACTAGGTAGTTGTACATCTACAGTTTTTGAAGAAAATATTATAGAGGAAGAAATTAAAGTATGTCTATGTTGCAGCAAACTCAGCACTGTAGTATGTTCGCTCTGTTTGGAAGCTAAATACTGTTCGAAAGAATGTTCGGAATTACATTGGCCAGAACATTACAAAATTTGTAAGCTTGTATGAAGACTGTATACTTATCAGATAACACATTTTCTGCATTTACTCCTTCCAACATAAGTACTATTGAAATATTATATTATACGTTACATATTACAATCATTTAAACTTAAAAATTAATTTTCACTTGTGTTTTTGTTCACATATTCATGTATTCTAATACTTAAGTAATTGTTTTAATATTCAAATACGGATTTTGTTTGACTGAATATTGTATGAATGTAGGCAGCAAAGTATTAATTTGTATAAGTACATTCTATTGTACAAACAATAGAAAAAAGAATCTTACTGTATTTTATCAATTTTTATTAATATCACAGTCTGCAACATAATACAGAACAAGGATACGTACATAATGTAGGATATAGACTAGATACTAGTTACACGTTGACCTTATTCTTCATATCCAACACCTTTAATCCAGTTTGTCTTAGGATTATGGAAAAGTGAATGTTTACCATCGCCCCATGGGAAAGGCTGCAACATAGTTACCAAATTCCAGTTTTATTTTAAGCTAATTTTACGCATATGAAAGAAAAATTAAGTTTTATCTTGTACCTTCCTCATAACCTTTAAATAAGGAAGTTCAATAGGCTCTGGTCTTTTATGTGGATGAAGACTGTTTATGTAGCAGTTCGCCATTGCAAGCAAAATACATGGTGCACCGACAAAAAGAGAGATGTACTTCCATAGTCTGATGGCACCTACAATTCGAAACATTACATAATATAAATTCATAACCTTAAAAATTTAATAGTTTAATATGACATTAATGAACTTGGACACAAATGTCGCTGTTCAGAAAACTTTTTATACGAATAGATTAGATTAGCATCGCAAAAGTGTGTTCTTGTAATCAGATTCGTTCAGTTACCGATAACATAAAACGTAGTATTCAATGTATTATACGTAATCCATATTAATTTCTAAACATGCATAGCTTACCATCTCCAGAGCGATGACTACGTTGTTCTACTGTTGCGACAACGTTCCTCCGGATGACATGGCCAAATTGGCCCAATTTTGGTATTTTAGACATAAGGAGCATCGCTCAGCAATGGTATACTTTTCGTTGCCTATACGCTATGTGTGCTATCCAGTGCTATCGACGATTCTCTGTCAGAGAAGAGCAGAATAAAACCGCAGAAAACATATCGTAGTATATACATAGACCGAAAACCGCAATAATTTTCCTAGTTCATGTTAACTGTTTTACCGATCTAGAAGTATAACCATAGACGAAGTAAAAGAATAGATCAAACACCTTATGAGGTTTCGTGTCAATCCTTAAATTCGATAGAATTAAATTACTGTTAATTATATTTCTCTTCACGCAATTTTTCTGTATGATCGTTTTGACTTGAAAATTTAATAATTATTTCGTTTAACATAAAAATCATTTTATTTTCCTTTACACTGCAACATTCGTTCACACTCGACTTTCATGCGCTTAATTTTAGCGCGACTATCCAATAAATTAAAAACCAATTAGTGTTCAATGTTTATTCCTTCTGCTGCAAGTGTAGATTCCGGGTTTGTATGTCGGTAAAAATGGTACGTAGTACGTCCACTTCCACCTGTAAACAAGAAAATCGATAATGTGTAGTATGTACACACATTATAAAGTATGATAAACTTTATGAGCATATAATGAATTTATAAAGTATAACAATAGTAAGAGGTTCTTATACCTCCTCAAAACGTTCATTCCGAACGGAAAATCGAAGGTATTGGGCACGTATTCTCCTTGATCCTGTTTGTCATCGGTTTCAGTATTTAATTCCATTTCCTTTGACCAAGCTATGAGACCACGTTCCTCGGGTGTACCTGAATTAAAATATATATAATTTTTTAATGAATACGCAGTGCTAAAGAATGTTCTGAGGGTACAGGAATGTTTGGGAGACAAAGAGTAAGAAAATAATTAGAATGAAAATTAAAAAATGACAAACTAGGTAGTGGAAAAATGCTCAAATTGGTAGTCAATTTTACCGATGAAGCAAATACACTTTGGACAATGTGCAATGTCGCCTAAATTACTTGCAATCGATAATTTGTGTATCAATTTGAGCGTTTTGCCACTATATCCATTGGCGCTATTTTTACATTTTTAGTGGGTTTAGTATTGTGGTAACATCTGTGTCAGATGATTCGTGCCGGATTTGCATTGTACCTTACGTGAAAAGTGGCTAGAATTGTCTGTTCTCCATATTTGCAATAATAAATAAACTTTCTTCGCATGATATAGATGTAGGAAAGTCTCTTGATCATTTCTGTACCCTATACACATGTGTTTAACTACTATAATGATGGATTTCATGCTATTTTTGATACACGTTTTCTCTATATGCCGAATTCTGTAAGAACCATTTCTAGCTGTAGGAAATATCCAATTTTCTGTACATTCATTCTTTGCATGAAATGAATGCAGATAATTCCCCTGAATATTTTTATACCTTCAAAATATCCTTTTAGCCCCATAATTGCCATATTTTATCTTATTTCAAATTCTTATTACAGATGGTTTAATCCAAACACGGCGGATAATCAATGTTCTATTATACTTGCCTAAAGTTCGCAAAAATTGTTTTACACAAAATACCTGGTATAATATTGTCCAGCAAACATCCCACTACACCTCCAACCAAGATCGTCGTGCTAAGTAACACCGTAAGTACACCGTCCGCTATATCATTTCCGGTCTGTATCACGTCCGAGTGTTTGATCATCCATTTCGACAATACCTGAACATATATTGACGAGTAAGATTATTTATTAAATATCTTTGTTCGACACAGAATAAGATAAGATCTCACCAGTGGGAAGAAAATTGAGAACCCCAGGATGTAAAGGTTCCTCGCCGAGTTCAGATCTACGTATTGCAACGCGGAGAGACCTATCAAAACGAAAATATTTGCATAGTTGTCAATCACTATCTTCCCTGGGTATTCCAATATTAATTGTTTTACCACACCGAAGGCACAAATCATCCCGAACATCACGCAGAATATCCCGCCCACTATCGGCTCTGGAATGATGATGAACACAGCGCCGAATTTGCTGATTAGTCCCTGCAGAATCATTAATCCACAGGCCCACTGGATCACTCTGCGGCTACCGACTTTCGTAACACCTGTACGCATTTTAATCGATCATCGATAATGTTCTCTTTACGTTTCTAGTAATTCTCTTATTTAATATAAATTTAAATGGATTACCAAGTACACTCTTTGCAGATTGCTTACCTATCGTTCCAACGTTTTCGCCGAAGGTGTTGGTGCCATTTCCGCTGCCCCATAAGCCAGCCAACATGGTACCAAGGCCCTCCATACCGATACCACGGTTAATTGCATGCACCGGAGGCGGAGGAGCACCTAGAAATTAATTTACATCCGTTCTATTAGATGCTTAGACTCGAGATCCTAGAGATATGAATCTGGTACCACGCACCACACATCCTGGACGTCGTAGGATAATAACTTATGGATTCCACGGTGCAAGCTAACACTCCAGCCAGCATACCAAGCACGCCGGACAATGTCACCGTAGGAGTACCCCACTGACCAGGATAAGGAACCCTAAACCATGGCGATTGATTAATGATTTTCAGCTTGCTGTCCGCCCTAGCTGGATGACCCTCTGGCAGAGCATCGGTTACGGTTAAAATTGTGCAAATTATCCACATGACTACGATCGTCAGTAGCACCTGGAACAGACGAGTAGTCTAATCCTTTTCTTCTAATAAATGAATAAGTAAGAGAAATATCGCTGTTCTCACCGGGAACAATTTGAACAGATCAAACCACGCGACTCGTATCCCCTGGCCTTTGCGGTACATTAGGATCGGAAATGGCACGTTCACCAATATTTGCGAGTACAGTGTTAACATCAATATTGTTCTGAAAAAAGATCTATGCGTATAACTTTCACCGATCAATTTTTTGCTCGAATAGAATCAGATAATCTTGAACATACCCAGCTGCAATACCCCAATGCTGTGATGCTGCGTCAGCTGCATTCTCGAAGAGGGACAATCCTACTAAAGAGACTGTCGGCGCAATCGTAAGCGGCGTTATGAATTTCAATAAGTATCCGATAATTCCTACGGAAATGTATATTCCATTGTAGATAAGGTGTTTGAATTTTTGAGTGTTGTTTTACAGTGTTCTTGAATACCTCCGAATCCAACTACTACTTGGAACAACGCGGAAACAGCAATAGCCCCTGAGAGCTCTCTCATTCTGACCTGCCACAGTTCGGTTCGGTTTTCTGCAGACATTTCGTTCATCACTTCCGGTGCAGGACATTTCCATTGCGGAAGATTCAATATCGCCAGGGTCGGGACTAAAAACGATATGGTTCCTCCTTGGACTAAAGGTAGCCTAAAAGATAAAGTGTTAATTACAACAGACGAGATTTCTTCTTCATTTTGACTTCGTGTTAGCATACTTGCAAAATCAAATTGTTTTGCTTCTCATTATGAAATACTTCGGTTCTCTTTGCATTTGATACATGCAATTATTAAAGGACTAATGCAGATTATTCAATTTTGAATTATATGCACTTCCTAACTCTTCGCGTCTACTTTTACCCAGCGACGTATTTTTAATGTCATCGTTAGACAGATCTTGAATCTAAGTGCTGTCATATGGAATCTTTTTAAATTTCTATGAGAGGGCTAATTAATTCTTCAAACTGTGTTCTAAGAACTATGGTTTCTTTTTACTAGGCTGAACTCGAATACGTGTAGAAATACAGGAGCAGAAGATTCCATTGAGTTCGCCTCACGATGCTATAAATTCCGGAAGAATGATCCGCGGCTTCCAGAATTGCAGAGCTCCTCTCGCTTCGAGCAATAAAATTTGAACATTCGAACAAAAAGATAATATGTTCCGAGAAACCGTCGGGAATTGCTAACGATCTATAAATCTTGTTAAATAAGAGTACAAGGCGGTCTCGTCAAGAGTAAAATTACGAAGTACGGAGCCTGGACAAGTTGCTATGTACATACATCGTTGGTAGGTGCGGAGCAAGCTGTCTCGAGTATTGAATTTCAAATTCATGTAAATTATGGATGCTCATGTGTACTTTTAATTACTTTCTTGTTAGAAAAACTGTTTGTATTATTTCCGGATACTTTAATCTTACTCAACGGTTGTAAATCAGTCAACGTAATGATGTGTTTTCCACCTACTGTCCGATTGACAAGTGAAAATTAATGAATCTCAAACTTCGTTGGGAATCTTTTAAAGTGCTGAAAATATTTTTCTCGGGGAATTAAGTGTTTGAAGCATAGACCCTCGAAGGACTGGCCACGTGGGGGAAAGAGAAATTATCGGACACCGAAATTCTATCCCTCCCATGTGCGCAACGTAGGAGGTCGGGTCTCAAGGAGAGGTCGTAAAAAAGAGACGATAACGAAAAGCAGGGTCGCCAGAAAGTCCTTACAAGCGACCGTTTTCCTGGAGTGTTGTTTTTAGAGGTAACTCTCCCCCTGTCGGAACAAATGACCACCGATATCCCAAAATGATATTTACTTGTAAAATTTCAATGCCAAATTTAGTATCATAAAAACCAACGGTGGATCGTGAAAAGCTCAAATCCTACGTTCGGTAACACTGTTTGCGAGATACACACGCAACCATAATGCTGGCGTCTGTTAAACGTCACTAATCGATTTAATGGGCTAGAATGATTCGCTGCCATGCCTCTTTGTCAAGCTTAAATTGCTCGATTACAAACAGTTGTTCCATAAACCAAAGGAACACAGAAGTGTGCAATTATTGCACACTGCTTGTTGATCTGTTAAAATGAGGATTTGATGGTTTGTTAAAACAGCTGATCGGACTCATAAATTTTGTAAATCGTGGTAACAATGAAGTACCTGCAGCCTATAATAGTCTGAAACAGCGTCACCAATCCTGTTACGAAGATCATGGTGGAGATTATGTAGCTCCTCGATGGATCATCCTCCGCCATGCAAAGCGCCGGCGTCAGGATAAAGGGAATGGAAACGATGGCTCCGATCATGGTCAAATAATGCTGGAAACGCCGATCGAATTTATTTTCAAAGTTTCATTAGATACGAACAGATTAAGTGGAATTATGTGGTAAGCACGTGACACGATTGTAGCAATCTCTTTCGGTAGCAATCTCTTTTCGATGAGTCTTCACACCGTGCGTCTTCCAAAGCAAGTATCATAATAGATATTTTGATAAGCTTTATCTAACTTCTAAAATAAACTAAGCTTCAATTTGACGTCAACCTTCGAAAATTAATTATTACAGGTAGAAATTTGAAACCGCTAATTTATCTCTACAGATAAATAACGAGGCGTACAACTTTTATTAGCCCTATAAACATTTATTATTATGGACGAATATAGTAAAGATTTACATTTGAATATTGATTGATATCAGAACAGTACCTGAAGAGCCATGAACAGGCAGAGGTACCATGGTGGAACGTCATCGATCCCGTACGTGAGTTTCACACCCCTTTTGTTATCGTCAACTTTCGTGCTCTCAGGTGAACAGTTTGAGCTGTCTAGATTCTGGAGCAATAAAACAGGTCATACATTGTGAACAAATGATTAGATCGTCCGTTTTCTCAATTAACCCCAATTTTTCGCATATTACTGTCCTAAAAGCACGATAGCAATTCATCAATCGCAGAATCTTTCTACTTTATCGAATTCCATCGATTTTAACGCATAGAATTCGTAGTCTGCTTATTATTAACAGCTACCTATATTTAATTGCCTCATATATAAATATAGAGAAATATATTTAACTTTGCTAGTTTACACGATGGAAGTTAATGACACGTTAATAATAAGAATAAGAAGAAAAGTTTCGTAAAATTAGACCAGTATTAATCGATAGACCTATGGGAAAAATACTGCGGAGGCTTATCTAACATTCTCAATTCAGCACATTGTTTCCGTGCATATCAAACAATTTTCCGATTCACTGGAGACTGAGGTTTTTCGATGGAATCGTTACTTTTCACTCGCGAATTCGAACGGGCTGCATCGAGTGCACTATCTTTGCGCGAAAATATTTGTTATTGTAATAAGATACTTGGTTACGCAATTATGTAGGAGAACCGATCAATCTGAATATTTGTATCACTAATTACCGGAGAACTACGTTGCCACGTTAAAACGAGAGACAGAAAAATACAATAAAAGGAAATCTTAGATAATCCAGATCGTGTATTTATGCAAAGTAAAAACAGTTTTATCGTCGCGGATTTTCTCGGTTCACTGTCGCTGTGAAATCCTGATTATCCGAATCAACTTCGTACTTACGAGAAACTTGTTTTCACGGTGCGAATTAAAAACTTTTATGCAGTTTAATGTTGCTCTCATTTCAAGACAAAGATTCTTAATTTCCCTTTCATTCGAGACCTCTAGGCTGTAGGTAGATCTTCAGGCAACATACAAATTTTCTAAGTCGATTGTACGGTACCGAAATGAGATAAAAATCTTGCATGTTCATTTAATAATTTTACCAAGCCAATAATAGTGTAACAATCGATTTTCAACCATGAATTTCTGTCCTTAATGCGTAAAATCCGCAGCCTAAAGATCACAATTCCCGCGACCACTTATAACAGACTATTAGACGATTAATTTCACTATTCTAATAGAAATAATTGCCTTGAAAATACTTGAAAAAAAACTTGGGAGGAAAGATCGAACGGAGTTTAGAGCTTCCGGTTTGTTTAATCGAGAGAAATAATGTAATCGTTCATAAACATGTGGGAAAATAAATCGCGATTGCTTTTTTTAGCGGTAGAACGCCGATACATATCGAGAGCTAGTAATCGATGGAACACGTGTTGGCGCCGTGGGATTCGATTCCCTAGCACCATTAAAATTCTATGTATCTCATAATCGCGGATATTTAAACATGGTAGATTTCTTGTGTACCAGAACTGCCATTGCTCGAGTTCTTACAGGTCCGATTACGATCTAAATAAACATATATCAATAAGGTCTTTCTGTGGAACGGCTAAAGTTCACGATCAAGTTTAATGGCCAGCAATTTGTGTTCCTCAAATCATTTGATGTCCTGGTCGTAGATCGTATCTGTAGCGGAAACGTCCAATTATTCAGATATTATTTTCCTCGATTCGCTACTAAGATTAACCTAACGATGTTCTAATTACTTCAAAATCGTGAATACACATCACGGATCGAGCTAATGCTGTCAGTTTTTGTATGATAAACAGTGAATTATAGGATCAAGTTTTATGTCCCGAGAGATACAGTAAATTCTCCCCGATTTTCGTTTAGCTTGTAAACAAAAACAGGCAATTTTGGAAGAAGAGATACGGTTATACAAGCCTCGCGGCGCGTTTTTATAGTTGTTGACAATCGGTGACTATAAAAAACGAGCCGCGAGGCGCGAAAAATCATATCAGTTCTTCCCAAATTGTCCATATTTGTTTACAAGCTGAAGGATAATTGACGAAAATTTACTGTATTGACAGTACTAGAATATGAATAAAGAATGAAGTTCAATGGAAAATATTTTCGTACAAATAATATTATGATTGTGGGATAAATAGTGAGTTGTAGAGTAAAATTTTGATAAATTATATTAAATGTTCTATGTTAAAAATATCTAAAGAATTAAGGTAGAAGCTGGAGCTATCTGCAATCTACAAATGAAAGAATATCGATCGTTGTGCGGTCGATTTACAAGCTCTGACATTAGAGAGAGCTTCGATAAATAACACGAAAACTATTACTAAAAATATTGTACTTTATTAGTTTCTTGATACATTAATCAACAGAACTAAGTATACTATTCCAGCAGCTGCAAAGGGAATATTATCGCGCTTTAATTACTCTTAACGACCCTTGTCAGCCGCGTGAAAAGGATTCGACGAATCTTCAGGATTGATCGGAACAATGAAATTATACTAAAATTTGTTGACTTACGAGCTCGGTCATCTGCATCGTTGCCACCGACATTTCGATATCGTGTTCTCACTTAAATAATCCGTAATTAAGAGTGCGAAATTCGATCGAATGCCATGTAGAGCACCGGGTCTTGCGAAACCGTCGCGGAAGTCGATCTACGTCGCCGTCGGACATCCACGTTAAACCGATGTTAGCAACCGACTGTGTTAATAGACGCGATCGCTCCTTAATTTATCACTAAATGCTACGCTCAAAGACGAGGCGACTCCGAGATTCTACGTGTACGATTTCGGTAATCGGTTGCCAGTGAAAAAGTGACTTTGACATACAGAATTCGATGACGTTTAATTGACGATAATAAACATTGTCGACGAACATGAGACCCAGGGCACAATGTTCCCCGAGCTGTCGATCTGCTAATTGTCGCCTTTGCGGATTTACACGTTTCGAATACTGATTCTTCAAGCTAAGGACCGAACAGGAGAAAATCTTGCATGAAAACACAGTGATTCCAATTTTTATACCTTATTTTGTTCACAGTGTTATTCACATTTAATTTCGCTAACGAATGACGAAATGTATTAATAAGATTTATAAATAATAATTAAGATTTGTGCACAATTCTTGACGCTTTAGAAATAAAAGCTGCGAAATATATGTACAATGTTAATTAAATAAAAGTTGTACAATGGAACAGACAATACACAGTTACAAGCACAGTGGTTGGTTCAATCTCAGAATTTAATGTAACAATGTATAAATAGCAGATATTGCTAGGTAATTGCACCCTGCAAGAAACCTGTTGGAATTGATTGCTGTTGAAAACGTGATATCTAACGAGCTAGCAATAATTCACTTATAATCTTTTTATTTTCATTGCAAATTACATAGTCGTGCGCACCGCGAGACGTACGGATTATAAAATTAAATCTTAACCGCACGTATCCATTCGTTGCCAAGAAATTTCACGTGTATAAGACACTTCATTGATAAAAATAATATTATCTACAGTTCGACTCGGGATCGAATAATAAAATACTGATAGGATCTTAGGTAACAGAGACCCCCTTTATGCGTAGATCAGTGATCTATATGCTACGCACAAACAAGCACGGAAATATTGCAATATAAATTGTATACGATTTCATTGTCGATGCTTTCGTTTAATTTATTTAATTATCTTCTATTATTCCTCATCGCAATTTACTATAAATAGAGCGTTGTTATTATTTCGATTTTTCGACGGAAGATAGTCATTAAAACTGTACTAGTGCCTAAATTACCTTTACGGCATATGACAGTATCATCTTAAATGTTGCGCATTTAATTAATCGGAAACATAAATGACATTCGGGATTAATGATTGCTGATTATGGAGGAGTGGTTCATAGCGATTTGAATTTCCCGCTAAATTTGAAATGTGATGGCGCGCAAATCGACCAAGCACTGTAGAATACGTAACCTCGATATTTATATAGGCTGTCCAGCATAACCTATCGTGTTGTTTCTCCTGTGTTGCGTGCCGTAAATAGTGATCTCAGAAACCGGTGTTTCATGTTTTTCTCATTGTTTTTAATAATATTGTGAGAGAGCAGAAATAAAAGATTGAAAAATGGGTGATCTGGTGGAACCGATGGATGTGGAAATGATCCCCCCTGACGATGACAGTGAAACTGTTTATCCTGACCAAACCGATGTGAAAACATTCAATACGAAAGATGTACAGGCTCCCGAGGTAATAATTAATATTATCGTTATCAAACAATCAAGATGACTAGTTTCTCATTATTATTTAACATTAGAACATATATCACAACTACAGCAGTAAACACGAGAATAAATTTCGTGAATGATACTCCACAAAAGCGCTCTCTTAACTTCGCTTAAATCGGCAGAACAAAAAACCTAAGATCGATCCTTCCAAATATTCTGGTAGAATTAGTGTTTATTGCATTTTGTGTGGAATTTTTAGGTTTGATTATACCTTGCTGTTAATTAATTATTTACTGCATTGTTGAATTTTAAAGTATGATATTGCTTGTTTCAAGTACAATGTTTAATGTAGTACATTGGTTTTATGGAAATAGAAGGAACTGGAAAGCCGCTATGAGAATCGTGGCGGTACATTTACGACAGGCATTAATATATTCAGCAAAGAAGAGAAGTTGAAAATGGAGGAGAGGGCGAAACGCTTTGGCTTAAAGGAGAAGGTGAACAGTAACGTGTCAAATCAGGAGCAAGATTTATATTCTAGGTGAAAATCTTTATCGATGTTAATTTAATTGACACTGTGCAATGATTCTATGATTATAGAGTAAACTAATTGTGATTTTTAGTATGGGCATCATAGAAGAGAACGAGAACACAAAAAACATCAGAAGGAATGTGATACACATGAGAGGAACAGAAGAAATGAGTACTAAAGATGTATTCAAGTATTTCGAAGATTATGCTCCAGCATCCATAGAATGGATCAACGATATTTCATGTAACAATAATTTATAAGTACTTCTTAATCAGAATATGATACTGATGTAAAATTTATTATAGGTAATGTGGTATGGTTGGATAATCTATCAGCAGCCAGAGCTATGTTGGGATTGTCAAAAAAGATTGTGGGTTTGGATAAAACGAATCAGAAAACTACACATACACATGATAATCCTGATGTTGAAAACAATGTAACTAATGAAAGCTGTACCATAGATATGGAAGATGATAATGATAGTATAAAAGGCTTGTCACAAGGTGACTACATAAGCATCAAGGATATAGATTGTCCCTTGCCGCCAGGTTTATGGAGGAAGGGTATAGATTATCCCAAATCCAAAGCAATATTGCTTAGATTCGCTACTAGAGCTGATAAGAAACAGCCGAATGCAGAAAAAATGAGTGATTATTACAAGAAATATGGGAATCCTAACTTTGGAGGTAATGATAGCGTTTACAAAGGTACTCCATCAATATATAACAAAGATTAGTTAAATCAAAGTTTCTCTCAACAGGTATCAAAGGCATTTTAACCGAATCTCGTAAAAGAATGTACAAACAAATCAGACAAAGCAAGAAGAGATTCAAAGAAGAGGCTCCAGAAGATTCTAAAGATAAGAAACGCGTCAAAAATCCGTGGGGAGCTTTGTCAGAGAGCTGGGGTCTGAATGACTTTGTAGAAGACGATTTCGGAACAAAACACGACCAGAGGGATCAAGGGCGAAGTGTAAAAGAGAGACTGGGTTTGAAGTATCCAGTTAAAGAACCTGTACACGTAGAGGAAGAACAAGAAAGCAACGAAAGCAGCGATAGTGAAAACGATTGGTGCAAAAGGAACAAGGTATTACGGATGCGAATGCATGCGGATGACGAAGAGGAAAAAATACACAAGAAGCGCGCGAAGATCCGACAGCAAGTCAGTAGACTGTTCATTAACGGCTATTAAACAGTTCGTATATGGAGAGAGAATTTGTTGACATGTTGTTATTTATTTATAGACGTTGTTGAACAACTTAACCAAGGGTAGTGATTTAAGATCGAGGCTTGGCAGACCTCGTCAAGAAACGCAATTCCGTGATGCAATCCAAGTGGTTGTAACGAACACGAGTGCAACGAAGTCGAATTCTTTGAAGGCTGACGACTCTGAGGTAAGTCATTAAAGTCCATTTATGTTACAAAGTCTGTCTGGCGAATGTTAAACACGGTTTTATTACACAGGAGGAGGATGGTGAAATTGTAGAGGACGATAAAGTTCAAGAGAAAGAGGAAGGTGAATGGCAGGAGTCCGATGAGGAAGAGCGAGAGGAAGAAGAGGATGAAGACTATAGCGATGACGACAGTGACGGACCGGCAAAAGAAGTTCAAGGGCCTAAAGGCAGTGTAATAAAAGTGGTTCAACATAAACCTCGTGTCCAGTCTACCGTCTGGGCGAGATTGAACAATGTGAAAAGCGAAGTCACCGATAACTCTGTCAAGGAGAGGTAATATTCTTAATCAATATTTACAAAATTAAATACAAAGCAAATATTCTAAATGCAATATCATTTAAAAGGCAACCCAGAGTACGAGATTTGAGGAGTACGCTGAAAGGCGGTGACCTTCGATCGCGAATCGGTAATCACACAAGAGGACGTTCTCCTTTGAGGATAGAAGTGAAAAATGACAAATACACAGAGGGGAGTGAGTCAGAATAGTTGTCAATTATTCGAAGGAATAAAAACGAGAGACACGGTTGTGATGTTACGTTTCATTAACAAACGCATTATATATAATATATATGGTGCAAGACTTTATAATCGGTGTATAAAAACAAACATAGAAAGTGCACTCATTACTCATATAATTGTTGGTGGGCGTTAATTAAGACATTTTCAAGTAGCTTAAGTAAATAAGGATAGCATGAAGTTAATTTTTTGTAAAACAATTATGTAGAATAATGAATTTAAAATTTTGCAAGGTTTTATTGATTGAAGAATTTTATACTCTGACACTGCCGGTAGATAAAAATCGAAAGTTTCAGGATATTTACTATAGTAGCATGTATAATTAATGTATGTATATTTATATTAATGAAATCTTCCTAAATTTCTTATTTCTGCTGCATAATTTGAATTTGCTTTTATAACACTATCGATGCTCTATATTAGGCATCATCTTCCTGATCTTGAAATGATATAAAATATTAATGAGCGGGTAATGAGTGCTTCCTGGCATGTATATAAATATTATCTAGCATAAATAGTAACAAAAAAAACAGATTTTCAATAACATAATCGATACAGGGAAATACAATGTATTTTTTAATATTTGTTTGTGTAATTTCAAAATATTCGATTAAAAATTGTGGGTAATTAAAATGTAAGAATTTCGTCCAGGAGAAAAAAATATTTTCAAGTAGTTCACGAT